CAAATCATTCACTTGAGACCTTAATTTAGTGCAATTTATTTTTATAAGTCTGACTCCTTGCTCCTTGGAAAGAAAACATAAAGAATTGAGCGATGACTCAGGACTTTTCCACATTACTATGTGGCAATTTTTTTTAATCTGTCACAGCTATATAACAAAATACTGTATGCACAGGACCAACAGAAACAAGCAATACACCCAGTATGTGCATGGATGATGTCAATTTGTTTGCCTGCTCTTTGTTCAGGGTGGCGAGCCAGCTGGTGCTACCAGTTATTGTAAAAGAGGAAGGTAGACCATGGACGGGTCACCAGTCCATTCCAGGGCCTCAAGCAAGACAGACAACCATTCCTATTCTCACTTTCAACTGGTGACAATTTAGAGTTACCAATTAACCAAAAAATGTATGGTTATTGGTCTGTAGGAAGGATCCAGATATACTTGGAGAAAACCCCTATGTTAATGGAAAGAACACACAGCTATGTTGCGAACCTGTACACTTATTGCTCAGAAGCTTTAACCAATGCTCCACCCATGAGTTTGACATCACCCTTGTTGAAATACAAAACTTAGGTGACAGCCTTTGAGTTCCCAATAACAAAACATAACTTTTTAACTTGGAATTGTAAGCTAGCTTATGTTGTCTACAACATTGCCAAAGACTAACCTAATATAATGTGAGAGTAGTGTTAATTCACATTAGTCATTGTGTGCTGCTTGGCAATCAAACAATGGCTTTGTTTCAACAATTCCTCTGCATTCTCGTTTTATTTTGTGATAATAGCTATCATTCAAAAAACACTTTTCTCATCTCTTGATCCCTGATTTCCATACCTCCTGATAACAAAAAACTTGATATTGCATGTCTAGATGGTGTAGAGGCAGGGCAGCCGACTCGGACCCGAAGGTCCTGGATTCGATCCCCAGTCATTGCACACGTTCGTGTTGTTTCTGAGCAGGACACCTCATGCCCAGTTGTTCCCCCGGTGCTGCCCACTGCTCCACCTGGTGGTGGATGGGTTAAATGCAGAGAGCCCATTACGCAATGTATGGGAACAGTCAATGACGATACTATGTAACACATTATTATTTTTATTTTTATTATAAAATATTTTGTATGCTATAATGTACATAGTTGGATTAATGCGTGGTTGTCCTTTAAAAAATTGTTAATGTCAAATAAAAAAGATTCTGGAAATCTTACTTTCACTGACCTGGTTACTCACAGGTGACAAGGTACTTTAGCTCGTTTAATCAGAACTAGAAGCACTCTGTACATTTCCATAAAAGTAGTAGGATTATGTATTTTTTTTCCATACACTACTTTGAAATCTTTAAATAAAAATAAAGACATGCTAAGTATTTTGTTATTCATTTGTGTTTAATAAATTTACAAACCTGGAAAGGATTAAATATTTTTACCTTTACACATAAAAACTTTGTTCATGTTTAGGGGGCGGGACTTAAAACTTGTACTTGAACTGCCCCACAAGGAAGCTGGTCACATTCCAGCTTCAACTTATCTGTTCCCAATGAACGTCGATATTCCTTTTATGGTTGATGGAGTCAAATAAAAAAATAAAAATAAAAAACATACAATAAAACAACTAGCTCACCTAGCAATTTTTAGAAATGTCACATTATCCAGACAGGTGTTGCTATTATTGGATCACTATCAGCATGCATGGGAGACACTGAGAAAGGAATGTGTGGCGTAAGGGAGAGGAAAGAGAGGATAACAGTGTGAATGATGAGAAGGGGGATGGGGTAATTTTTTGGGAGGCTGTCTCACTGCGAGGTGTCAGCTGTCATCATTCTCCTGCACCACCTGAGCCGGGGCCACACCCTAGTGCTGATGCCTGTGTCACCCATAGCAACCACATACGGGACTGTTGGTTTTTATTTTTTATTTTTGTAAATAAGCAAAAATGGGGTGAGCCTTTGTGCTGTGTTGGGCTTTGAAGGTAATGAGGTGCACGCACATGCATGTGAGCCCCAGTTAAAGAGCTGGAGTTGTGATTGCCTCAGCATTTAATTGATTAATTGTCGTAATTATTTGGAAAGGAAGGTCATCACAGCTCTGAGGCTATCGAGAAGGTCACTCGGATGCTGGAGGGACCGGCTTCCTCTGGAGACCACATCGGCCATATGTGTATGTTTGTGCGAGAAGATCTCAGAAGACTTTAAAAAAAATTATGTGTGGGCTAAAATACTCTTCCATCTTATTATTTCAGTGCAAACATCTTTGTTTCAGTCTAACTTTCAACCAAAAATGTATTTTAATGTTTTTTTTGTTTTTCCACATCTTTATAAGTGTGTAGATCACTCCTCTCTGCCCATCAACCTGACAAAGAGCTGGCAGACAAACACTGTGAGCAAAATGGCTGTGTGTTTCTGTATGTGTTTGTGTGTACACTTTGTGTGTACAGTTATGGGACTTTCCAGTCCATGGACAGATGGAGAGACTGGGAGACTTGCTTGCTGGCTCGAGCTCTGCGCAGGCTGGTGTGTATGAGTGTGTCCTTGGTGTTTGTGTGTTTGAGTCTACACGGATGGGAATATGAAAGCACAAATGTCTGCTGAAAACACCCTTGTCCAGTGTGTGTGTCACATGAGGTCACGTGCATGTGTTTAAGATGTTGGTGTGCATCTGTTGGTGTGGGTAAAGGAGTTGTAACACCTTCTCTCTGTGTGTTCATCACTTCTCTCCAGCTTTGACCTTGGCAGGGAGCACAGACAGGTCACATAACCAACTGTTTATGTGGTTGTGTGTCTGTCTTTTGAAGACTTTTTTTTTTTGTTCGAGTCACAACATGGAACTTTAGGACACTTGAACCCCCACATAAAATTCCCTGTTTAAGATACTCACGTGGACACCATTTGATAACTATATATACAAATGCTGAATTGTACCTAAATAGCTGTCATGATCAGTTTGAATGTTCCTGCCACGCCCATCGCTCTCTGCCACCTGCCACGCCCACTTCCCCACTGCTAATCAGCGCTCATGCCCTACACCTGCTTCACGCTCTATTTAAGAGCCCCATCCACACTAAGCCTCTGCCAGATTATCGAACCCTTCATGGTATTAGATATCCAGCCATTTGTTCATGTCCATGCCTGATGTTCTTGTCTTGACCTCACACCTTGTCTTTTGGATTTACCGCTCTGCCTGCTCCTCGTCTAGTTTTGTTCAGCCCTCTGACCCTGGTAACGACTACCCTTTCTGCCTTACGGATTTTGCATTACGATTTGACCTTTGGATTTATTTTTGGACCTCTGACTCTTCGTACTTGACCCCTGCTTCGTCTTTCGGACCACGACTTTGCAGCTGCTCTTTCACCAGTTATGGTGATGTCATCTCATCGAGCTCTGACAGGTGGCTCGCTCATCCCCTGCCTGAGAAGACTTGTTCCCTTGATTGGATCCAGACTACCACCAGTGGTTGCAAAATAATAAATTTATTTAAATGTTCTTGTTGTCTGGCTGAACTTTTAATCCAAAAACCTGATCCATGACAGTTTCATTTAAAGGAAATGTATGTGTTGTTGATTTTCTTTTTGCTGCTCCCTTCTGCAGGAGTCACTACAAGAAACAAATCTGCATGAAGGATTTGTTAATTGTTTTACGATGGATGCCCTTCCTGACATGACCTAGGCTCAAACATGCAGCCTTACAAAACTTTGTCTCTGACCGTGGTGAAAGTCTAAAATAAATTTGTGAAAAATCTACTGAAAGCTTTTGCAGTTGTTGATTAAAATCATTTAAAGATACTACAGGAAGGTTTGGCTCTAATTAAAAACAACTCGAATATTTCTACTAATATTCAACAACTTTTGCTTGACAGACTTTGTGAAGCAAAACTGATGCATGAATGTGAACAGGCCCATTTAGGGACTGTCAGATTAGTTAAATTTTTAGTTTTTAAACATTCACACATTGATTCAGTTTTAGAGTTTGTTAGCCTTCAGTCGCCACCTTATCATGGTGAAGGAGGGTGTGCTCCTGAATAATTCTAGGAGCTACGCTGTCAGAGACAACTGCTCCTGATACGGTCTCCCAAAGCATATTAGTCGTATGTGACAGGCTAGATAAAGATTGATTCAAACACAAGTATGGACACACGACAGCGCAGTTTCTTTCACGAGTAAGAGAAAAATGGAACAGTAAATCAACAGATGGATCAGTGCGACTTCCGCAATGCTGCAGAAGTCGCAAGGATTCCATTGTGGTAAAGAGGAAGCTGAGCTGCAACACGATGCTCCTACCCTTCCCTGAGGTCATGAACTTTGAGTGTGATGAAAGAATACATGATGGATGCAAGTGGTCAAAAGGAGTTTCCTCTGCAGGGTGGCTGGACTCTCCCTTAGAGATGGGGTGAGAAATTTAGTTATCTGGGAGAGACATGGAATAGATCCGCTGCTCCTCCACATCGAGAGGAGCCAGTTGAGGTGGTTTCGGCATCTCATAAAGATTCCCCCTAAGTGCCTCCCTAGAGAGGTTTTCCAGTCCAAATGAGAGGAGACCCCAGGAAAGATCCAAGACACGCTGAGATAAAATACTATATTGCTCATCTGACCTGGGAACACCTTGGAGTCCTGCCAGAGGAGCTGGAGGAGCTGACTGGGGAAAGGGATATCTGGGCCTCCCAGCTTAAGCTGCTTCCCCCGAAACCTAACACTAGATCAAGTGGAAGAAAATGGATGGCTGTTTGTTCGCCTGATTTTGAACAAGACTGTTTCTGATGCCCAGCAGGCAGAAATAAATTAAAGGGCCAGTATTGTATTTCTTGTCAAAGGTGTACATCAAAGTTTGTGTCCTCTTGTTCAGTTCGATGAAAGGATACTTTCAAAAGAAAATCAAATTTAGAATAATGTAATTTAGAAACAAACAAACAAACAAAAACACCCCACTTCAAATGAATGTGGTAAATCAACATTTCTGACAGTGAAACCTGTTCCCTGATTATTTGTTTGGTCAGTTTGGAGTCTGTAGCTCACCTGCTTTAACGTGGATGCTGGGGCTTCGGATCTTGCCCGCCTGATTCTCAGCAGTGCAGAAGTACTCGTTGTCGTGGATGATGCTGTTATAGGCAGAGGGGGAGAAAGGGTAGAGCTGGAGGGTGCCGTTGGCATGCACGTGGCGGATATGGGGCACGTCGTAAATGTCGTCTCCGGCGGCCAGGTACCAGCGCAGGACGGCGTGGGGGGCGCCGCCCGCGGGGCAGGGCAGGGACACCCCCACCGAGCTGGAGAAGGTCACTCGCTGCAGGGAGGCGTTCACAAAGTACAGCCGCGTAGAGACAACATCCTCACTGTTGACTGTTGGGACGACAGAGAGGGAAATAGAGCCATTTATAATTAAAACAGCCCCACTCAATTATAGTTGTTCTAAAATGAGCCTTTAAATGCCAAATAAGACTGATAAAATGAAGGGACATGTTTTGGATATGATGCAAACCATTGTAAATTTCAGCACTTTTCAAAATTTCTAATAAACAGATTGTGCTAACAAGTACAGTTCTTCAGACGGTTTAGCCCTTGACTACTTTTTGAAGTTCCCACTTGAATTACACCTTCATAAACCAATCAATACAGCTTCACAGTTGTAAGGACAAAGAGGCGCGCTGCAGAATTATGAAACTCAGTCTAGTGAGTTTCTGTTTTTCTGTTACCAAAGGGAGTGAGATTTAAAAATAACTCATTGAAACAGAAAATAAAACACAACACTGCTATAACCTATAATTATTTCTGGTGATGTGTCGAACTAATTTAATGCAAGAGTACAGCACATTATACACCCATCAACAAATTATTATACAGCAATATATAGCAATGGCCTGGACAATCAAAGACCATTTTTTCTTTGACCTTCATTTTTGACCTTGACCTTGAAGCTGGGGATATTAAGTGTATGCAATGTCTGATGATGTAAGTGTATGAAGTTTTGGTGGTTTGAGGAAGCCAAAGTGGTTCAAAACATTGTACAGCTGTGGCTGCCTCAAAGGAGTCGATGGGGGAGAGGGAGGGCCACAGAAACCATCTTATCACCAGCAAACTGGTTGGTCCACTATATGGGTGTGCTGCTTGTGGGACTCAGTTTGTTGTTGCTCCTCGGACTGATGAATTATTTTGGATGAAGGATGAAACGTCTCAACAAAAAAAGAAACTGTCCAGATGACCTGACTGAACTTTGTTGGATTTTCTACCTGGATTATTGAGCATGAACTTTAATGTATGAAGCTTTTTTAATAACCAGTATGTTGAGCAGATCAGATGTTCTTGGCCGGCAAAGAGAAAATGTTCAGACAGATGGGCGTATAAGTGGTAGAATTGTCTAAATCGTTTCATTTTAGCCGTTAGTTTCAGGCATGTGTTTCAAAACGAATTTGCAGCCCATCTAAAGGTTGCTGACTAAATAAGTTTACATACACATACCAAAAACATTATCGAAATTTTGCTTTAATCAACAAATACCATTACTTGACAGAAATATAATAAACTGATATATAAATTGAATTAAAGGCAACATGCGTTCCTTGAAGGAATGTATGTCACCCATCACGTTTCATGCCAGAGTTTTAACCTGCAGTCATTTTATGATGAGAAACGATGCACTTGTAGTTGTTTTGGTCAAACCTTTCAAATAACGTTCTGCTCAATCTCCTGCAAGCTGAGTTCTTGAAAGTCCTATCTGTTGCAGTGAAAGCCAGAGGAACAAGATTCTACAAGTGTTTGCTATAAAACAATGCTGCTGTGAAACAGATGAAGAACTGCAACCATATACGTTGTCCTAAAGGGGGAAAACACTGTCAAATATCTAAATTAAAATACAAATTCACCATCACAATCTAAAGTGCAATATTGAGGCATCTGTTTTTTTTTTCTATTTGTGCTTGCTGGGATTGGGAAAGGTGGAGAGGGGAGGGGGCATTGAGAAGCATGAAGAAGTGCTGAGCTCAGCTTGGCTGGGGGCCAGGGGAAGACGCTCTGCCCCGAGCCAAAGAATTTTCTTCTCAGACATTGATACTTAATTAATTCCTTTTTTCCCAGAGTCGCATCAACAATGCATGGATTAGCCTCTATCTATTTAATTCACTGCATGCTGAATGAATAAGGAGTTCCAGCCATCAATGGAGGTATAACGACACCATCAAAAGACATTAAATCGGGATTTTATTTTTTGGGATGGGGCAGATTATACATTGTATATAAATATTAATTTCCTGCAATCTGAGCACAAAGCCAGATAATCTTTTTTATATATATATTCGTTCATGTTACCATGAATAGTAAAGACACGATATTTATAACATGACAGAAATTAGATGAATCCAATAAGAAAAGACTCTTTCAGGGGAAATTGAAGGGATTAGGGATAAGACTCGAACTGACATAAGGGTGATATTCACTCTCGCCTTTCAATTGTCTGTTGTCTGCCACTTCAGCTGATCTCTATCTTTTCCTCACAGGTTCTCATCATTTCTTCTTCTTTCCCAGATAACCCTTATAGACTCGTACACGGCTCCTCATGTCTTTTCCTGCTGCTTCGCAGACAGAAAATGTCAAATGGTTGGAATAATCTCCTTTCACAATAAATACGTATCACTTGTTGCCCTTCACATTGGAGTTTTAAACTAACATCTGTCTATGTTAAGAAATGACAGAGCTGTAGCCAGTTAGCGTAAACTGTAAATTATGACACTGCAAGATGTGACTCATAGTATTTGTTGAGTATAGCTCTCAGCTAATCCCGCATCAAATATTAGCTAAATATCTGTAAAACTGACAGAATTAAAGTAATTTGTAATGTTGGTCACTAGTGGTAGACACCTCAAATTGCAGTGACTCCAAAAGTTAAACAGTTGTAGAGACATATGTAAATTACTTCCTGAACAGCTCATTAACATTTGCCTAAAGGTTCACAAGATATTTTGTTAACAGGCAAATTGGGCTGAGTTTAACAGTAAATATTAGTTTTAAGCAATCGTGCACAATGTGTAGCACTTGGAGTCCATGTCATGAATGACTCTCAGCTACAACCACGCCACATTCTCGAACCTGTTAATTGACTAAACTATAGCCTTGGGATGTAAATAAATATCTGCACAAGCCCACTGTATGAAAATGAGTCCCAGAGCAGCATATTAACAGACACTCTGGTTAAAAAATAAATAAATGTTGGAATTTAGGTCAAGTTCAATCCATCGTGCCGTTTGATTCAATGTCAGTCATTCTCAAAGGCTGCGAGGCTGACTGATCTGCACTTTCAGCACCACGGAGAGCACCACGCATTGCTGCTGAGCAACACACGCTCACACACACGCAGACACACACACACAATTGTTTCTATAGTTAACAAATAAAGAGAAAACCATTACCTGATCATATCAATAACAGCATCCTGCTTCTTTCTGCTGTTTACTGCTATTTTGAATCAAAAATAAAGAAAGAAAATTAACAATTCCAAAGGGATTGAATTAAATATATTATTATTAGTATTATCATTGTTGTTGTTGTTGTTGTTGTTGTTGTTGTTGTTGTTGTTGTTGTTGTTGTTGTTGTTGTTGTTGTTGTTGT